TGCTCCAAACTTTAGTGAAGGATCCAAATGATAATCACTATATTTGCTTGTCAGATTGGTGTCTTGAAGACTTTCTGTTCACAAGTGTGCTTGAATCATCTGGATAAACATCAGCTTGTGGATAGAGTTCCTTCTCATCATAATCAAAATATGTGTAATGATCATTGATCACTGCATCATTAGGCACATGTGACACATTCCCCCTTCATCTGTAGATGAATTAGACTGAGGAGGAGGTGGGATTGAAGAAGGAGGAGTTGGGGCAAGAGAAAAGGGTATTTAAAGTGGATGGGATGTGACAGGAGGAGAAACTGATGGGCTGGAAGAGAGTGGATGAGGAAGAGGAGAAGTAATTTGATCTAGAGATTGAAAAGGAAGGATGGTTTCATAGAAAAAACCTCCTTGGAGAAAAAAGACTTTCTTGTCATGAATGTCAAGAACTTTGTAACCCTTGATACCTACAAGAATACCTAAGAATACATACTGTCTAGTCCTCTGGACAAATTTTGTTCTGCCATGTTCCAGAGTGTTGGCATAGCATAGACAGCCAAGCACCTTTAAGTTCCCCATAAATGTCACTTCCTTTGTGTAAGGCTTCATAGGGAGTCCTGTTGTTGAGAAGGGGGGTAGGTATCCTGTTGATCATATAGACACCATGTAATATGAAGTCACTCCAGTAAGAGAGGGTAACCCAAATTGAAATTTTAAACATCTAGGTACATTCAAAATGTGCTGATGTTTCCTCTCCACCCTGCCATTCTACTTAGGAGTCTCAACACAGGAGACTTGATGTTCAATACCTTCACCTGTGAATAATTTACACATCTCATGTGCATTAGACAAGGGGCCCCAAATATCCATATGCATTAAATGAAAAACCTCATGTGCAACACTGGTGCTAACAGGGAAAGGAAGTTTGTGTTTTTCGGACAAATGACATATATCACAATGAAATGTCTTAGTTTTTATACTGATGGAATTACATTACTAAGTAAAGATTGTCTATCATGGCTAGGGTGTCCTAGTCTCCAGTGCCACAGGTTCACATCTTGTGGGTTGAAATTGAAGGAGATTGATGCTTGGTGTTGATGAGCTGGTGGGATAGGCTTGTTTGGTTTTGAAGGAAGGGCAAGTTGGTAGAGACCTCTAGTTGTGTGGGCTAAACCATACCTATTCTGTCTTATGAGGTCCTGATTTCACATTTGTCATAATGGAAGTGTAAGGAATAAGGGTTATCATGGGTAAGCTTGCTAAGAGAGATGAGATTAAAAGAACACTGTGGCACTAAGAGTACATCATGCAAAGTTAAAGCACAAGCCAAGTGAACTGTCCCTACACAAGTGACTATGACTTTAGTATTATTGGGAAGATAAACAAAAATGTCCTAAACTGCCTATACCAAAAGAAAACTGTGTCCACAATCCATAGGGTAAGATCATTAGTCTTGCAATTTTAAGAAGAAGACAAGACATGTTTACCTGAGTGGTTGGGGAAGGTGGAAAGGGAATTGTGTAGCTGAATAAGCTTGATGATTGATAGATGGAGAATTAGGTGGTGAAGGGTGTGTATTTGCACCAGCTTGCAAAAGATACATGAGGTAATTTATTTAGGTGTGAATGCAAGTGGAGTTGTATGCTTACCTTCATTACTCACACTGCCCTCTGATGCACTCTCACTCCCACTTTCTGGTGAAATAGACCCAACAAACCTTGGTGTACTGAGTTCGAGCTAGAACTAGAAGTGGATCCTCCATTCCCATTACCATCTTTCTCCATCTCTTGCTTCCTTTTCAGCTTCCAATAGTTCTCACTGTTGTGATTGTTCATCTTGCATACTTGACAAAATTCTCCCCCTTACTTCAGTATTCTTCCTTGAGTTGTTACTCCCAACAGCCATAGCCAGACTTTGGCCTTTCTTTCCTACCATATCCAAATCAGCTTTTAACTTTTGCTCATGTTACAAAAGGTCATCCACAACTGCTGACACAGTGGGAGAGGCTTTTCATTAGTAGTTGTGTTCTAAAGACCTCATACTCATGATTAATTCCACTCAAGAAACAAATTGAGTAGTTTGTCTCTTGCTTCTGCACAAAGGCACCTATAGCTGCACATGACATTGTTCCAGGATCACAAGTACATGGTGTGATAGGACTAAGTTCATCATATTCGTCCCAAATCCCATTCATAGCTGTATAGTACTGATTTATAGATCTAGAACCCTACTTACATGCCTGAATTTTGTCATCTAGATTTTCAATTCTTAAGGCACTGAGTTGACCAAAACACGTCTTCAACTCATCCCACAATGTCTCAGAATTATTGTGATTCAATAGTGATCTCCTAATTTCTTTCATCATGGAGTTTTGAAGCCAACAAAGAACCACTGTGTTACAAGCGTCCCATAAACCAAACAAATTTGCATCTCTAGGAGGAACTGTGATTGACCCATATATGAATCCTAACTTATTCTTCGTTTTCAGTACCACTTACATAGATCTACTCCACATCACATAATTTGTGCCATCAAAAGGCTCAGCAATGGGAGATTGGGACATGTTTTCATTTGAGGTAAGGTAATAGGGATTACAGAAAACAACTGTCTCAGATTGCAAGTGATTTTGGTTGAAGGTACTAAAAAGTAAGGATGTTGTTGTACCTGTCATTGTTGACATTCCACTACTACAGTTGTCATTGAGCGGCGGCGTCTGAGGTGGAGTCTACCCTCCTAACATCCTGTTGTTGGCGGTGGAAGAACCCCAGAGCTCGTGTAGCTCTAATACCATAACGATTTGGATGGAAATATTGGAAGAGGAAGCTCAGCTAAATATGAGTCCTCAATTCGTTTTTATAGCTAAAAAAGGATTAAACAAACCACGACAGGTGTCTTTACATCATAGGTTAAAAGTTTAAACAAAACAGTATTACTTAACGGCTAATAAAGACTAAGTGCTGCTCTACCGTTTTCATTCTTCTCTTTTTCATGACTTGGTAACACAACGCCGTTCCTCCTTTCTCTTCTGCTTCACTTCCAATCCTTCTGCAACTAGGATTGTAGCTCTACTTCTTTCCCTGCTCTTCCACAATCAACAGCAAGGCTTCTCGATTCAGCCGAAGGGCGAGAGATTTCTCTCAATTCCTTTATGCTGCAGCGGTGGTCTCCTGTTGGGTTTTCAATTTTCGATTCCACGAAGATGGCAATGCTGGAGGAAAATAAGGGAAGGATAGTGATGCTTGGGGGAGAACGATGTCGACTGTTGGTGTGGTAGAGGTGGAAGGACATAGTTAGGCTTTTATTTTAGTTTTATTGAATTTAGAAATTTAAAATAATTAAATATTAATGAAGTTATTATTGAATGACAGGGAAGCCACATGACATCCACTTTAACAATTGTTGCTGAGTCATTAACGCTGAAAATGTTTGATCGTTAGTATTGACAACTAACCCAAATTTCGGGATAAATCAGTTTAGTATTTTCAAAAGTTTATCATAAATATATTATTTTAAAGTTCATGAAAAATTTGACACTTACGCCAAACTTTAGGCCAAACTAGGGTATTAACCCTATAATTTGTTAGCCAAACCTTTCAGACCCTATTTTTATCAAGGATTTTAAAATGAGAGATTTGAAACCCAAATTTCTCATCGAACACCTGGGGTCGTTTGGGTGCAGGTTTTATAAAACCTGGGTTTTTAATCACAATCCCACACTAAAAAAACCTAGGTTTTTAATATGAGGAATTTGGATAAATCACTTGTTTGGATATAAACATAGGATTTTAATTAGTAAAATCAAATTACAATCTTATCCTTTATCTCCTACCTATTTCCTTTCCCTCCTCACATCTGTGACCCTCATCTCTACACCTATGATCCACGTTGGAATCAATTCGGAAAAGTTATTTTTTTATTAATGGAGGTCGGAGCCAAGAAAATTACAGGGGCGAGGGATAGAATAGGGAGGGATCTAGGAGACTTGTCTAAGGCAATCCAGATCGGCAATCCCCCCCCCCCCCCCCCTCGAAGACCACCATTCATCTTCTTCCTCCATCACCTCCCCCAATCTTCTTTCTCCATACCTAGAAACAAACAAGTAGACTGCCAATCCATTCTCTCTCTCGAGCTAACTCACAATCTCTCTCTCTCTCTCATTCTCTTTGCCAAGAACAGCGGAGGAGATTGACAGATCTCGATCCGCGCAGAGGGAATGACGATGGCTGTTTGAAATAAACACAAAAAAGTGAGGGATTTCAGAATAGCTGATCCCCATAAGCTATTTTGAAAACCTGCATTGGAAGAATTTCAAAATCTCTAATGATAACAATCTCTCATATTTCCAAATACATTATTGTTTTAAATCCTGCATAATGAGGGATTGTTTTAAAATTCCTCATAAATCCCTCATTACAAACCTTAATCCAAACGACCCCCTGGGAGATTTTGGTTGTGGGATTGTAACCCAATTCCGCGTTTGGGAATGGATTAGCGATTTGGCCCAACTTGGCCAAATTACACATTTACCCCCTCTCTCCTTCTTCTTCATCTCATGTCTGCCGCATCATCTCCTCTTCCAAATCTTCAATGCAGAGAGAGAGAGAGAGAGAGAGAGAGAGAGAGAGAGAGAGAGCGAGCCAACGATCCAATGCATATATGGGATGCTCGATTCAAGATCATCAAGTGGCGTGGGAAGATGCTTGGAAATCCAGTCTCCAATTTCACTCTCTAGGGACGCAAGTTTTTCACGCATGCTCTAAAATAACTAAAAATATGTTAAGTACGACATATACTATGTAAAATATGTTAAGTTTTTTACGCATGCTCTTTTGCATTTATAATAAAAATAATCATTATAATTATACTAGTAACGTTAGCTAAGTAATTGGGTTTACGTTCAACGGGATGAAAATAATTATGATGATTATAATGATTATAACGTCGGGGTCTTGAGGAGAGGGTTAGGAGTTAAAAGGTTAGAATTCGTTTACGCCATCCAAGGGAAGGATATGAACGGGAGAGAGAGCCGGGTTGCGCTCGAGGAAAAAGGGAACGACGGTAGCAAAGGAGCAGTGGCTTTGTCTCTCCCCTTGAATCAGCAGTTGCAAAGCATCCCTATCCCCATCTCATTCCCCACCGGAGAGATCTTTGATGGCAAAGGGCTGAATAGGGACGACGGCGACTACGAACGTCATGGCCACCGCATTGATGAGTTTCAGTCGGGAGGATCAAGAACAATCAGTAGGACAAGCTCGCTAGCTGGAGGTTGGAAGTTGTTTCCTGGCGTGAAGGTGTCGCGTTGAGCTAGGTAAGACACAACTCGCACCTAATTATTGAGGCTGCTAGGCCTGTTAAGATGTGTGATGGGGGGAAATGTAATTGTTGATTAATTATGGATTAGGACAATTAGACTGGTGCGACATGGAGGTTTGGACGCTCGGGGTTTGTATGATGTGGTTAATAATTGGAAAAAAGCATTCGAGGTGCTAATAATGGGTAAGGGATAAAGATCATCATATTTTTCATTCATTAACTAGAAGGTGCACTCAAATGACGAGGATGCAGTGGAAAGTAAGCTTGGAATTCATAGATAAAAGAGGAGGCCACTTAATAGCTAAAGTTTAGCTAGCCTACGATTGTTGCATGGGCATGGATAGATGAAAAGCTAATGAGAATTTCTAAGGAGGATTGTAATGAATCACACATAAAATAATTAATTTTGAATTGGCCTGGTGGGATGGTCACATGAATGGCATCGTTGCAGTTCAAGGAGGGAGTTGAAGCGTGTGGGAGCTACAAAGCCGGGAATAACTCAAGACAATTGGTTTGGATGTAAGGTGGGTGTAAATGGGTAATATCTCAGTCGTAGGTCTTTTAGTTTATGCTATTATTTTTAGTAATGTTAGTTAATTTTATGAGTATGCGCGATTATGTGTGGAGGCATCCCTCCGCCTACTTAAGGTGGAGGCACGCGTTGTGCTATGTATGTGTATGAATGTGCATGGTTGATGGTATGAGGAACCCCCAAGCGATTGGGCCACTACTGGATGAGGTAGATGGTAGGGTCACTACTGGACGGCGATACGTAAAGCAGTAGTTGACCGGGCATAGACTGGACGGCGAGACGTAACGTAGTGCCATTGGAGAGTTTGGGTATGCAACCGGACGGCGAGATGTAACGTGGTTGGCATACTAGGGTAGGACACCAGACGGCGAGACGTAACACGTTGGTCCCTAGTATTTGTGTGTTTGAGTTAAGGATAGAAGTAAATAACTTTTATAAGTACTAAAGGATAAAGTGTTAAGGATTAAAGTATTGAGGATGAAAGCGAGAACGACTTTCATGTAAGAGGAAGCAATTTCTAATAATATGTTAGTAAGAGTTTGCTTAGGGCAAATACCTTAGGAATTAACGACGAGACTGACCCCTTCTCACTCACCAGGTTGAGGAAGGGTTAGCAGAGGTGGATTCCGAGAAGAAGTAAGACGAGGCAAGCTGTCACACCAGCATCTACGAGACCTCAGGTAATAAGCAAGGAGTTAGAGCTAGAGTTAGTTTAATTATTTTGTTCATGATTATGAGTTTACGTAATGGAGATTCAAGGTTCAAGATTCTGTGTTAAGTTGTTTTAAGTAGTTGAGATTTAGATTTTGCCCAAGTGTTGGGGCTTTTCATTTAAAATTTTTAAATAATGTCACTTTGTTTATTTTTAAATGTGGTTTGGGTTGCTCCGGAGTAACCGGTTTTCGGTTTGAGTTATGGTTTGGTTTTCAAAAAGAGTCGGGTCTTTTCATTTAACTTTATACCAGGTGTCACCAGACCAATAATAGACGATGAATAACTCAGGTTCGGGATGGCGTGTGTGTGAAGCGGATGGGGGAGGTGAGCTCCGATGAGATCCCTTAATCGGAGTAATGCAAGATGTGTTTGACGGAAAAGAGGAAGAAGGTGAGCAAATGAAAGGCGGACGTTGAAAAAAAAAATGAAACCAAAATGAAGGATTTGTAAATAACTCATGAAACACAAAATACTAGCCAAATCTTTTGTAATGCATCAGAATTCTAGCTATTTTTCTGTTACCGGTAGTTATTTTGTAACTCTTTTTTTAGTTAAAATATTATAATTTTAGAATGTTAACTCTAAGTTAGTAGCATGTTGCAGAGCCAATATTACTAACAAAACTGCTGATGGAAATTTAACATTTTGCTAATATTTTGTATTTTGAAAGGTTTGACTAATAATTTGAAAATTTTAAAAAATTTGACAAATAAATTACTTTTATCAAAAATAAAAATTCAGATTCATTTTAAAACTGTTAAAAAGACCTTGCATTTTATATGTTGTCTAATACTCTAACCCTACCATGGGTATGATTATCTTTGGTTAAAAAAAAACCTAACATGGTACCGTACCCCATTCTTGGGCTTTATTTGAGAATATTTTTTAAAGGCCACAACCTCTTCACTGCCAAACAAAAATAAATCTCAAATTAGTTTGTTAGCTCGCAGCGCAACTCGATTGTCAATCTCAGGGGTGCTAATCGGTTCGATATTGGTTAACCGCTAATTAATATGGTGGTTAGAGGTTAACCAATAACAAAAAACTCATATCATAACCGAATCGATAAGCCTTCTCGGTTAACCGTCTCTTATCGGTTCGGTTAGAGGTTAGTTTGGCGATTAACCAACAACCACTAGTAAAGCAATTTAACTTCATTTCTACATTATTAACATAAAATTCCAATGATAAGAAATAACATCAATACAATATCGATCGTTAATTCATAATCCAAATCCAAATTCCAACTCATGAAATTAAAAGTAATCAAACATCTTCATCTAATTAGTCAATACCAACTACCAAGACATTAAACACAAGATCATCATCATCATCCACAAATATAAAAGAAACAAAGACTATTAGGATGCGATATTTGCTCTATCGGGTTCAAAGGGGAGTCGGAGAGGATAACTTTTGCTTTCCGACTTTTGAGCACATTTAATTATTTGGGTGGAGGGTTGTTTGCAATAAGTGAAAATTGAGATGTTTGGAATTGAGGTCATTTTGGTTAGTTTTGAACCTTGGGATTTGAGACATTTTATATTAGCCAAAGACCAAAACTATATAGATATACTAGTAGACGGTTCTCGGTTTTCTTTTCTTTTAAACACTAACTGATTAGTCAGTTAGCGGTTAACCAATAAGTAAAATACAGCTAATCAAAACTGAACCACTAAGAAATTAGCGGTTATTGGTTAGCATTAATAACCATTATCGGTTCGGTTATCGGTTAAAAGCGATAACCGGCTAACCATTTACCACTCCTAGTCAATCTTGTAGATAGAAAAGACGAGAGTATAAGCGAGTAGAGGTGCACGGTGAACAGCTCTGGGTTGTTATTTGTGAATGATTGATAACTTGCCAGCTAGGTTGTCAAACCAGTTTATATCGTTGTGGCAGTTTATCAAGTAGAATTGTCTAAAAAGTGGTACAATCGATTTGTGTCGGTTCATGTAAGTTTAAAAAAAATGTAGAAAGTGAAAAATCATTAACTTTAATGAATCTAATCATATATAAAATTTATTTGAAGACAATTTACTTGAAATTCATCAATGCAAGCCTCCAGAGTGGCCCAAAATCACTTTGCTCGAAGTTGGAAAAACGATGCACCGTGGAAGCAAGAAGGGCGGACGAGATCAAAATCTTTGGCAATGGGATTCAATCCCCCGATCAGGGATCACGAGCAGCACGGACCGAGGATGGCAAACGGAGGAACCCTCGGGCAGAAGGCTCCAATTCCCCGACCGGGAAACAAATGGACACGATCGAGGATTGGAACAAACGAGTTGCTCGGTCAGAAACGTGTTGTTTCCCTAACAGGGATATGAAGATGAGCGACCGGGGAGCGGGCGGTGCCTAGTGATACTTACGTTTTGTTTTTTGGATTCTTTTTCGTTTATGTGTTTGATTAGTTTTTGTTTCCTTGGGCAATTTAAAGGGCTTAAAATCGATTTTTAGAGGAGACTTTGATGAATTGAAAACATTACTCTTTATTAATTGAGCTTTTGCTTGTGAATTGTTATATGTATCAATAGAGTATTCTCTTGATTGTGGTCGAGTTTCTACCTTATATTGATAGAGCTTTATCTCAGGTATGAGATTGCACTTTAATTCTGCTTTATTCTTAACCCTAATCCTTGTTATTGGTTGTGCGACTTTGACAACTACGAGCATAGGTTTCGTGCTCGTATCATTCATATTTAAATAAAATATAATATTCTAAATAAAATAATAAATAATTATATTTAAATACAACATTTAACGTCAATACCTAAATGTTTATACTTGAATCCAATAAATAACATCAAAGTTTAACTTTTATATTCATAAAATAATAATAAATTATTAAATTTACTAAAACGACGTCATTTTACTTAAAGGTCGAAATCATTCATGTCGATCATACTAGTGCTGTTCATGTTGGTTTCTTAACAAGTACTTGTAGACATAGGTTCAACCTATTGGTATTCCACTGGCGTGACTACCATGTTGACCACTAAGTGAGCTTATGTCAGCTACTCACTCGTCCCGAATATCAACCAAATCCCACCTAAGGCCCAAGTATAAACCTTAGATGGGTGCAATATAGGGCAAGTATGTTTAAATATTAACCCGGGCCGATCCATGTACCCCTACTTCCATTGTTTGAAACATTATCTAGCGGATTGTTTTTTGGTTGAAAACTATGAGATTTAAATCGAAGACAAGCAAAGGTAAATGGTTTGAAAGCACTAGATGAGAAGGATCACTCGGGTGTCGCTTCTCCCAAACTACTACCATGGAACATGAACTCGAATGGGACGTTATGGGCAAGGCAATCATGAACCGCTAAGAGGTGCAACTATGGTCGAAGACCACACTCTCAACTGCCAAACCACGTGATACATTATATGCTACAAGAGTAGCCCTCTTGGTTAAGGAAAGTAAGGGTTGACTAACCTTCTCCCTCAAACCGATGGTTGGATGGCTTGATCATGATTAACCTTGTTGATTAATTCAAGATAGAGGTTTGCGCAACATTAACCAAGGTAGGTGGCTTGTAAAGACCAAGGAATTTCAACTCAATTGAGCCTCTTTTGGAAAGGGGGGTTTCCCCTCTAACCTAGGTTAAAATGGCCAATTAGATTGCTAAGCACACACATGCACAATCATCATGAAAAATACCTCAATCATTAAATTAAACAACACCCATACAAAATCATTCAAGTCACACTACAACTACATGGCAAATAGTTAGGGTTT